AAAAAAAAAAAAAACACAAAGGCACATGGCTTGTAGACAGCTGCCTTAAAATAAATAAATTAATTGCACAAATATACATAACACACAATTAAAAGTCATCTGTAAATCCGAAAAAGAGATTTTGCTAATTAACATGAAAAATTACTGTTCAAAACTACAGCATGCTCTAAACATGGCAGCCCATAAAAAACCACCCTAGCCTTCACCACGTTTGGTTTGGCCAGAAGAACGGGTTTTTGTTTGTTTTGTTTCAACGTGAATTTGAATGCTTTTAGGAGGTGCAGATATGTTTTACCATAGACTCCACCACTCCCAGTAGCACAACACTGAGCTTCATTTATGCTACTTGTGTGACTGTGCAGGTATTTAAATTTGCAAACTCTGCAATTGCAGGTGAAGATGTTTAGTCTCTCATGCATATTCCAAAATGACTTTGGAAAACACTGAAATAACTACAGTCCTGCACACGTCCTGATTTTTTCAGTAACACAAACATCACAAAAAAGTAAACAATGAAACATTTTCCTAAGGGCAAACTTGGGTTCATCATTCTATTTACAGAGACTTTCTGTGAAGTCAACTACCTCAATTTTCATCATTTTAGAGGAAGGTGACTGGGCCTAGGGTAGGCCCAGGTGACTTTACCCAGGTGACTGGGTAAAGTGACGTACCCAAGGTCATACAACCAATGATAACTTGGATACAAAAGTGTCCTGGATTTGTTTCCCCCAACCAGATTGTGATTTCATCAAAGAGAAGACTAGTGTTTCTAATTATTCTGAGCCTGTTCTAACACTCTGCTGGGTGTTTTGTACTTAGTAATTAATATTCAACAAGTAGCACTGAGATTGGCTTCCAAGAGATGAACTCAGTTATTATTTATTAAAAATTAAACCAGCTAGAGTTAAGTAGAAAGAACAGATTCCAGCTCAACAGCCACTGTATTTGTCGAATGAATGAATGAAGAAATAGATGCAACTGTAGTTCTGTGGGTAGACTTGTAGTTGGTGTGTCCTCATATCGATGAAGGAGCCAAAGGCACTACAATCAGTAACACTTGACCTTTTAAACAGACACTAGCCTTAATTAAGGCCTTTTTCACAAAGGAAAAATAGGTTCGTAATCCAGTTCCAGAACTCCCAACTGCGCCAAAATGCAGCATTTGCCCAAGTCGGCAAGTCATCAATTCCTTTGTTAAATAAATCCATCTTCATTATACCTAAAATTTTGGAATATAGCTCAGACTTAATCCAAATGTTTTCCAAAGTAATTCAAAAACACCTTATTTCGGCATTTCTTCTACATTTAGGAAGAAATGGCTTTGTGTATCAAACCCATCATTCTGCAATATTCTCTTTTCCAAGCATAGCCTACAGCAAGGCTCAACCTGCAATACACGTGGCCCCTGGGTAGCATCCAGTAATCTGTAAGCCTCCACATCCTAGTACCAAACAGGACTGCAGGAAGCACAATTGTTCTTAGCTATTGCTTATTTTTTTCCTTTGCTTGTTTCTTAAACTTTCATTAGCAAGATCAAGGTTATTGTGGCTAAGGAGTTCTTGTAGTTGGACCAAATCTCCTCTCTCAACTTCTGCTCTCAGCCATACCATGTTTCAACTAAATTCAAATGGTAGGTAAATGACTTTGCTACCTTTCTCCCTCTCTTTCTGTTTTAGTTTCTTCATTTATTTCTTCCCTCCCCCTTCCTTAGACGGAACATATGAGCTCAAACATATCCCTCTGAGTGTTCTGTGAGAAAGGAGCAAATGGTGTTTGCCCTCAGCACAGGATAAGGGTGACAGAAACTAAACCCAGGATAAGGGTGGGGAGGAACCGGTTAGGTACAGCACTGGGGACAATGGGGAGTGGAGGTGGAGGTTAAGGAAGAACATCCATGATATACA